CTCATCCTGGCTAAGGTTGTCGTTTTATAGGCGAGTGGTATGGAATAGAATATTGGCCTCACCGGAAGCCAAAATTGGACTGCCATTAAATTTTCCTGTAGATTTGTGCAAACAATTCCTCTTCGCATCGGGCCACGAACTCGAGGAACTCGCGCTGAAAGACCCATAAGAGACAAAATCAAAGTGAGAAAGCAAGCTTTAAGAGAATTTCACAGAACACGAAGACCAGAAACCCGCTTTTCGGCCGATCCCAGATAGCCTCTCTGCTGCAAGACACGATGCTCCGAGATGGGCTGAAAAGGATCTGGAGGGAGGAAGATAGAGAGCAGGCGAAGGTAAAGGAGAAGAGGATGGTATCAGAGGATAACAGTCGATCTGTCCGTGTTTTGGGATGGGCGGCGTTGGTGCAAAAGTGGCAACTCTCATCTTTTTTGACAGTAATTACCCCTTTTGAAGAGAAAGTACCGAAGCCGTATCCAGACTCGTAAGTGACCGGAGAACCTTGAAGTAGCCAGCCCTCTTGTCACAGCTGTCCACTTTCTCATACCCTCGTCCGCTGGCTCTGGCGGTAGGAGGATGGTGGGGCCATTCCGGATCCGACTCACCGGAGGCAGTCTGAAAGAGGAGGAGAACAAGTCGAGGGAGAGGAGGAAGCCGAAACGTCGGCCGGGGTAGTGTGAACGGTTGCTGGATTAATTTGGGTATGGTAGTTTAGGCAAATGGTGGAGGCTGTCTTCATCACCTGTTGGCGAGTGGTGGCAGTAATTATTGCCTGTCAACGGGCAATTTATCTCTTATGCGAAGCAAATTTTACGGGCTGAATTGGCGATTGTCCCAGGCCGATTTCGACACTCGTCTTATGCAAAGAGAGTGGAACAATGGATTGTTGTCTGGGTTACTTTTGTAGTTGGAGCCGGCCAGTGTTTTGCAGTTGAGGGAAATGATTTAGGCATTTGTGTGGCCTTTGAGGCATCATGGCTAAACCACCATTTTATTGATGAGTCTGAAGTAGAGGAGTGTTTCTTGTTTTTGTATTTAAATCGGCCTAAATTTCTGCTTTCTGTATGCATAGTTGCCCTCGTCTGTGATTGTGTGTATTTCTGACTATGAAATATGACTCTGCTCTGCACCGAGTGATTACGGAGGCTCTGAGATTTGGATGAAGCACAAAAAGTACTTCTAAATAGCCCCTTTGAGCTGGTCAGTCCAGTCGATTCAACAGCATTATACTAATTAGTTTTGCTCAGCTGCTGTTGCCCATTCACTCTGCTTTTCGGGATTTCCGTTTTCACTGAGGTTCAACTATTGGTTGCGTTAGCAAATAGTGATTTTGTCATTG